TGGGGGCTGCTCCCCAGCCAGGGGTGACAGTGACGTGTTGCCATCAGGGGGAGTTGGGTTCAGTACTAACTTTGTATGTATTTGTACATAGTCTATTTTATTATCATTATTACTATTATTATTAGTGGTAGTATTAAAGCTCTGCTCTTCTCTTTTCAGTAAGTCTCTCTCCTTTATTCCCTTTCTCTTTTCCTTTCAGGGTGGGGGAGGAGGTTAACAGAGAGCATCTGTTATGGTTCTGGGGGTGGCCCTAACCCCAAACTGCAGCAGATGGTAACTGGACTACATATTCTATCTATGTGTTGAATAAGGTACAGAAATAGCTAAGATTTTGGATAGATAAAAGTTATTATAAAAATATGTTTCTCTTTCTGAAACAATCATCAGGGTGAGAAATGATTAAAAAGGAGGAAATAATTAAATATCTACATTCATTGCTTATAGTATAAACTATTTAACTAGTTCATTGAACCATGCATTTGGAGAAAGGGTTAAGTATGTTCTCTTACCCCCATGATCTTAGTGTGGCATCTGGCACAGGTTGGTGCAAAGAACTGTTCATAGCAGCGCTCACAGTACACACTGTTCTGCTCTTCCACAAAGCACATATCAGCCAAGGATTTCTTGCAGTAAGCACAATTGAATTCTTCTGGGTGCCATGAGCGACCCATGGCTACCAGGAAAGGACCCCTGTGAACAATCGTAATTATCTGATTGGTATTGCAAAAAGATTGAATAACCCTGAGCATAAACCCCCTTGGTTAGACACCACGCACAGGTATAACAAGCTTTCTACTTGAACCATGGAGGTGCATATTAAAATAAGATCCAGAAGCCTGAACAGAAATGGTCTCTTTCAAGATCCTTACTGAAACACTTTCCCAATTGGTTAAAATATTTCATTCTTGTTTAGTCATATAAATTGGATTTACAGACAACTGTTGGAAAAAATCAATTATTTCCATATCTGCATAGCTAGAGGTGGCCTTTGTAAACAGCTGCAAAGACAAGAGGAAAAGGTCAAGGGCTGTAACACAGAAGAGAATGCTACTATTTGAAAGCATGAAAAAGCAGACAAATTTCCAAACCTGCACAGCCACACCTCACAATAGCTCCTAAAGTCCCCTGCCTTCTGTTCATCTGAGAGAGCACTGCATGTGGCATATTGTAGGAATGTCAGACTATCCAATGGCAGCTTGCTCTTTGATTCTATGGAAGACATACTAAATTCGTTTTGGTGATTTACTCTTGATTGTAATTAGATACAGTGATTATTACTGGAGTCTTTCCATTTCATAGTATGTAAAGGGCAATAATCAGCAGTTCCACATCCCCAAACTAGCTCCTCTTTAGTGGAGAGACTGTCATTAAAGATGGAGTACTTAAAATTTGTTAGCAGTCCACAGGGTAACGATGGGCACCGCTCCAGCAGAATGAATTGGGAGAGAAGAGAGAGAGGCATGCTATGAATCACTGGTAATAGAGCGTAGGCATTATCTTCCTCCAGACACAAAAGCAACAATTACAGTTGGCTATTGTTCCAAAATCATGTCTCCTTCCATTTCTCTCCATAATCCTCCCGTCCCCTTCCCAGCTCTCCCGGTGAGGTTGTACATATCTCCTTCAAGAGGTACTACAGGACCAGATACTTGTTTAAAGAACAAATAGTGACTTGCCACTGCATCCAAGAACCCCAGAATTAGCATGTATAACTTCCCAGTGATACCAGCTGAACCACACAATAGGAAAATGTACTCGGGGAAAGTTAAATTAATGAAACAGACAACAGATATCCCTGCTGGGTAATTTAACCGTCTTAGGCTCTGGTGCTGTACATTAATGTACAATAACCAGTCTGTTTTGTTTGGTTTTTTTTTTTCCTGCTTTATCCCTCTTCAGAACCTCATGACCTTACCGAATTATGCTGTTACAGTGCCCACAGAGAGGAGTTCGGCTGCTGGCTGGAAAGCGCTCAGCCCTCTGCACTGTTCCCCGGGCTATCGGAGGGGCCTGGGAAGAGCTTGAACCTGGAGATGGGTAAGCAGAAGTCGAGGCAGGAGATGGTAGTGGAGCACCCCTGGGCAGGATGTGCTTTGTGACAGTGGTGGTGGTTTTTCCGGGTGCAAATTTCTGAGAAAAGGAGTCATCTGTTATCCAGGGAGGGCGACTTGCAGGCTCAGCATTGGCAGGGGTGTAGGAATGAACTGGTGCTGGTGCTGTTTTAAGTATCCCAAAAGAAACCAAGAAGTATTTAAAAGTCTTTTCTTCTGATGGCAAAACAGCAACACTTACCAAATGGTACTCCAAGACACACAAAAAATAAAAGCCCCAGATCACACTTAATTATGGTCTGCCCCATTATTCCTCATTAATTCTGGACTGAAGCCAGGATATCAGCACAATCACTGACTTTTAATCCACATGCATTACAGAAGTCCTTGCCTACTGGCTTTTACAGATTTTATGGAGAACATTTCCAAGGGCATCTCTTAATTTTCTAGTAGGAACGGATATGACAGTTCTGTGGTAATTTCAAAGACTGCCATATAATCTGTTTAAAATGAGTTAAAAATAGATAAGCCAGCTCATGTAATAAAGTTTTAGATGGAATTCCCCATAATTCCAATAAGAAGTTATGCTTAAATTTTGATTTAATTATATTCATTAAGATGCAAAGTTTTTCCACAGATGTAACTGTTATCTATCATTTGTAGGTTTTACTCCTAGGCTTCTGGAAGAAAAAGAAGAAAAGGGGAAAAAAAAAAAAAAAGCTCACAGGGGGAACAGAGAGGAGATAGGGAGCACTGGAAGCAATACTGAGGGAGCCAGTTCAGCTCACATGACCAGCAAGACAAAGCCCACAGCACTCAGAGGAAGGCTAGACCTGCGGTTTTGACTGATCTCACTTCAGTTCTTGGCTGTGCCACAAACTTCCTGTATAACTTCAAAGTGTCGTATCTCTGCACCTCCATTCCCATGTGTAAAACAGAAATATTGCATGTCCATTCTTCCACCCTTTGACTATCACATAAAATCTTCAGTGCAGACTGCCTCAGTGTTTGTGTGTGCCAGGCTCTAATCTTGGGTGGAGCTTTATTACATAAAAGTAAGCAGAAGCTACAGTCTGCACATACCAACAGGTTTTCCCATTGCCCTGCTCCTTTCAAAACCTCAGATCTTGCATTGTGTAGGACTGAAGTCACTGCCCAAGAAGCTACCTCGCTTGGCCAAGTACAGGAGCACTAAAAGCAGTTTTTCCTTTGCAAGGAAAACAAAGTAAATGATTGTTCTATGATTCTATGATTGTTGGTCTATGTGATGAGGAACAGAAGCTTGGAGAGTCACATGTTTTGCCCAAATGAGATAGCACAGATTTTGCTTCTGCAGTCAATGCAAACACTCTGTAGTAGATCCCAGTACCAATAAAATTATGACCAAACACAACATTTACAGTTTTAAGAGGCTTGCAGACAGAAAGGTATTTCAGGCAAGAAGAGGGTTCCGAATGTAACGTGGGTCTTTCTGGATAATTAGGTGGTGAGGAGATAGTGTTCTACTTGACAAAATCCTTCCTTAGCCCACACCCTGCCACAGAGAGCCACATAAACAGATTATTGGCAGTTGCAGGTGCTTAAATTCCATATGTACCAATCTACTGATCCCTCTAGAGATCTCTGATTTTCTTCTGTTCATTGAGTTCAGAGTTCAGCCTAATGCATCTTCTTGATAAAACTTTCTTATGCTACAGCATCAACACAATTTCTGCTTCATAATACTGTATCCCACCTTAGCTTGAGGCTTTTTTTTTTTTTAACTTGGGAATGGTGAACAGTGTTTAAGGATTGCAGAACAAAGCTTATATGCAATCTCTTTAAATCCTGAGGCTGTTGCTATTTATGCATTATGGTATTAAGCTGGGCAAAATTAGAAGGCAATATTTCATCTCTAATTGGTGAATTTAAAAGGCTCCCATCTATGAGGCTCTCTAATTAAGTAAGGTGACTTCTAGCTTACTCAATTTTGTGAAAGGATTCTCTGTCCCCCAAGAGCCAAGCACAGCAGTGTATCCCACAGAGGACCTAGCAAAACGATCAGATATTCAAACCCAGAATTCCAGAAGTGAAGAACAAATTCAGTCCAGGTACCATCTTCAAGATGTCTTTTTCTGTGATTGCCTTTAGTAAATTCAGCTTACAACTTCTTAGTTTTTCACCTTTTTTTCCCCCCTTAATCTCACAATGCTGGTATTTTGCCATTCCATTTTGTTTATTCCAACGAATGTAAATCAGCATATGATTTATCTGGGTTCACATTAGTCTAGACTCCTTTGAAGGATAAACACTGGGGAAGGGTCTTTGTCTTTCATTCTCTCTGCCTTTGATTTCTTTTTACTCAATGTATCTTTGCTAGTTGTCTTGATAAAATGAAGTGGCAAACTATTTTTTTTTTCAGTTGCTGAATGAGATTCCAGGGGAATTATTGCAAAACAACAAATGTCAAGTGTTTGCAACTGCTCTGAGTTCTCTTTTCAGCCATTATAGTTTACTTTTACAGGCTGCATTTATTACAATGTATTTTCTGCCTCTGAACAGGCTGGAATTACTACTGATTTAAAATAGTGTCACTGCAATGTGTTAGAAAGGTTTCACTGAGATTTTAGCTGTTGTTATTAAGAGGGAATTACCTTGTAGCTATATCCCAAACCTTACATGAACAACACTCTTGTCTTACTAGTTACTATCATACAAATTCAGCTTGCATGTTTGTGTATATCAAAGTCTTCCAACATACAAGCAGCAGATAAAAAGTGCTTTTTGCTGGTAAAAAGTACTAAGATTCCATATATCAGAGAAGAGATACTCAAAATATCAGTGTTGTATGAGCTGACCCCTAACTGTTCAAAAATGAATACTTTCAATAATTCAGTAACTCAGCCTCTATCACCTTGTTTCTCTCAGCCCTCAGACTCTTAGAGCAGGAGAGAAAGAATATGACTATTGTTATCCAGAGACAATGGCAGAGGAGGTATCTCTTGACAGCAGTAGGAACAAGCCAGTTCCTTGCTTCTGGGGAATTTGGAATTCTCCCTATCAGCTCTTTATTTATGGTCAATGGATATGTTCCTTCCAGAGAAAAAGGTGTGTTACCAAAGACTCATTTAGTGAAGATTCAAATGGTCTCAAGTGCTTTAGTCTTACCAACTAGATTGCACAATTTCCCTTCCTCCCCCCCCTTTTTTTTAGTAGAACTCATAATTGTTATTCTTAGTAATAATTTTCCAGTAAAAAATGTAATTCATTATCACAGCAGATTTGGCTTCTTCTACACTTAGTGGCTGCATCCTTGAAGCCAAACATTTTCCTGTATACTGTTCTGGTATCTAGTAGATGACAGAAAAACCACATAACACAAGAAGTCCTTTATAAGACAATACTATTCTTAATTCAGAAAAATTTAAAACGAAAGATGGTTCATAACCTGCTGTTTTAGTATTGAAAGTGTTTAGGATTCAGTGAAAAGTTCAATGATACCTGTGGGAATCTTTCCATCAATTTCTAGAAGAGCAGACCAGGCCTTTACACTTGGTGCACTTTCACATACATGAGTAGTCCTATTCGGACTTACTCATCTAAAAGGAAAGATCTGCTTGCTTACTTCTAGGTTTCAGCTTACTTTGTGGTATAAAACTGGTGTTTGAGTTGCTTGGACTATATGAAAGTGCTATGCTAGTCTGGCAAAGCCTACAAGGAAGGAATACACAACTATTTTCTGCCACCTAGTGGACCTCGTTCAGAAAAGAAGTCTGTGCTCCTAAAAACAGGTTATGAAATCTATGCAACAGAGAACCCAAAAGATTTTGAAGTTCACATCTTT